GTGATAACAAATGAAAGCTGAAATCTAACCGGCTGAACGCCCCGTCCCAAACCGCGTACCGGCTCACTAAATAGTATGGAAAAATAGTGCATATCCCATTAGAAGTGCACTCATTAGTGTAGTAGGTGAAGTACAGAAGTGTGTTGTTTGAGATGCGGCGTTAGATCAGCCAGTGAGACGCATTCAACAGCTGCTCTGCTGTGCTGCTCGTTAGCTTCTCATTGAACACCTCCAAGAGAAAGATTGAGGTGTTCGTTGATTGAGGACGCATTTGTTAACGTAAGCTGATTTTGGCTTCGTGTCCACCAACTTCGTAATTCGTTCTACATTTAAGGCACCTCAGTGCAGCTGCTGCACCATTTAAGGTGGAACGGAAAATTCAGTATAGCCTCAGTATTCAGTGTATATATGGGTCTGGCAGCTACCTTTATTATATTTTATAAAATCCCACAGATTGGAATTTTCGGAACTCTGGAGATGTGCAAGTTATACGGATCCATTCAATCAATCAAGTTAACCTTCTCCTTGTAGCGTTTTTCTGCAGACTGCGTCTAAAGGGTCCACATATCTTTTCATGTTTTTACCTACTTTGCTATTTTGCCTTTGGTGTTTATCCATCTGCAGGGCTGTATCTGCAGTAACGATGATGAGACGAGCTCCATCAGAGCAAAGTTACAGCTCACCTACCAACATGAAGACGTGGTCTTCTTAACGACGCTATCAAATACTATGAATAGAGCTTCGGAAGTGTCTGTACAACTTAATGGGTTCTAAAGTGCTTTGCTGGTGTCTTTAGAACTTTGCAGCGGTCAATAGAGAGTCACAGGTGTCTGTAGAAATTTGCAGATGTCTGCTGATCTCTGCAAGGGTCTACAGGGCTCTGCAGGTGTATGTAGAGATTCTCAAATGTACAGGATTCTCTACAGGTGTCTGCAGAGCTTCACAAACGTATATAGAGCTTTGCAGCTGTCGATAGAGCTTCTCAAGTGTGTACTGAATTGTGCAGATGTCTGTAGAAGTTCGCAGATATTTGCAGAGCTTTGCACGTGTCTATAGAGCTTCTCAAGTGTATAGGCTTCTCTACTTCCTGCACACCATTGACTGCACCACTTCTTGATTGAAACGCTTAGGTTTCATAGATTGAAATGAAACAGGAGTAATGTGGGAAGTTTTTCACCTGCTGTGCTAAAATCTACCTTATTCAATACCTGTAAATGAGGTGGAAATGATAATTGACTCCCACAAACCCTCTCCAGCATCATCAGCACCAGAAATCAATGGCGCAGCCATCAGTGTGGTCGAGCCGTTCAAATTATCCACAACTACTGTCTCTTACACACTCAGCCAGCAAATAAACCTCTCCTGGTTCACAAAGCAATCAACTGAAGAAACTTCTGCACAAACTGATGAAAACCTCAACTCATCACTGAGCTTGTCCGTGTGCAGCTCGCAGCAGGAACCTTCACGGTTTTCATCAGTGTCTGCTGCTAATGAAGGCAAATTACGATCTCTTATGAAAATCATATGCCCTGACGTAGCCCTCACTGAAGGGAAAGAGGCATAAACGGTACTGACCCAGATACTGTTGCTCAGGAGAGAATCCTGAGGGCTTTCTTGACCTTCAAGGCCTTATGATTGCTGGGAACTGGAAAAATCTATTTGTTGGTGTCTATAGACCTTAAAGTGTGCATAGAGGTCTACAAGTGCTTACATAGCTTCCTAAGTGTTCATAGAGCTTTGTAGGTGTCTGTAGAGCATCACAGATGTGTACAGGGCTTTGCAGCTACCTATAGAGTTCTGCTTGTATCTATAGAGCTTTACAGGCATCTACAGTGCTTATCGGGAGACTATAGAAATCCCTAAGTGTCTGTAGAGCATCACAGATGTCTGTAGGGCTTCACATGTGTGCACAGGGCTTTGCAGCTCTCCATAGAGCTTCACAGGCATGTGCAGAGTTCTGCATGTGTATATAGAGCTTCACAAGTGTTTATAGAGCTTCTCAGCAATCTGTAGAGCTTCTCAGATGTCTGTGGAGCTTCATAAGTGTGAATAGGTCTTTGTAAGTGTGTATTAAGTTTTGCAGGTGTCTATACAACTTTGCAAGTGTGTTATAAGCTTTGCAAGTATCTATAGAGCTTTTCAGGGGTCTGTATTTTTATTTAATACAGTCATTGTGTTTACTGCATTTAAACTCTAAGTATTAAAGTAAGACTGTATATTTTTAATTGAAAACAAAAGGGTTAAAATCTTGAAACACCCAATAGAAAATGATCAAGTCAGGATTGTTTTCTCTGTGGTATCTAGGTAGATACGGCTGAGGGAGCTCTCCCATTGGTTAGGACTTCAGGACCTGGACTGAAGGCCTTAGGAAGTGAACCAGTCATGCTTTGATTTACAATGGGTGGAACCAGACATAAACATTACTCTAGGTCTCAAGGTTCTAGATACGTCACTGACTGTGAATACGAGCCGTGGTCTAAGCAGCGTTCTGGTTGGTTGTTAGAAATGGAAAACAGTGGCGGCAGCTCAATACTGAAGGAGTCACCGGGAAACTGATACATACAAGATCAGATGTATAATAATGTCTGTTATGAGCTTCAAATGCCCTTGATTAATCTGTAATGACCATAAGCAGCAGTTTTAGCTCAGTGCTAATGTACTACAAATCTCATAAGGGCTCTAGCAGTAATGATCTTTATTGTAAAGGTGTTTTTTTCTCTTTTTTGATTAACGTTTATGGACTGAACTGGAGGCCCAACTCTAATAGTCACAGTTCACTGCTGCTGTTGTTGTTTACCAGTGTTTATATGTGATTGCGTCACTATTTAAAAGGCTAACACAAATTGTGCATCAACAGAATTGCAACAAATTGTAAATTGCGGGATCTCTTCCTTAATGTCTTTGATATTTTCTCTTTATCTTCTAAATAACAGCGATTCTGATGTTGAACATGCAAGCTGACTAACATTCAATACGCTGCAGCAAAATGAGAATGACATTTTATTATTCTGCTCTTATAATACAATACAAAATTCTTCAGATGGAGATTTTTTTGGTCCACATCGCCCAGCGCTAACTCAACGCATCTGTCACTGCGCACGTTTTCTTTTTGTCCTCCTTTTATTCACTTTGTCTCTCCACATTACAGTTGTAAATGCTCGCAAAGCGCCAATCAGAAGCTTCTCTTTGTCTGAGCCTTTAACCTCCTTCTCATTTTAATCTCCGACAGCTCTGTTCGATTGTCCGTCGGTTTTGTTTTACCTCCGCTCGCTCCTCTGCATAATTATGACCCAGATAGAGAACAGCGAGCGCTTCCTATTCTCTTCAGATCGTTCTGTTGTGTTGCCAGTCATCTCCCGCTCTTTTGTGCGAGTGAATGCAGCTGCAGAGCAGATGTGCGATGTTCAGGGAGATGAAATGAAAGCGCTGAGTGCGAGAACCCCATTATAGATCTGTCTGTACGGCTTTATCGTTACATTACACTGTCATGTCTGTTATCCTGTCCTACACTTTAACACACACACTGGCGAGGCATATGATACAGCAGAAAAGCAGAAACACATATTTAGAGGGGAACTCCACCAATTTTTTCAAAATTTCAGCGTAATTAGATGGTAAAGATGTAAACAGAGTCATTCAGAGTGGTTTGGTGTGAAACGCTCTGTTCTAGAGAAACTTACAGTCAGAACTGTTCACAGTGGTGGTGATAGGAACCAGACGTCCACCTCTAAAAGCTCCCTCACAGTTCCTACATGAAATGGTTATGGATTCACTGCCTGATGACTGAGACACTGTTTTATGATAGTTTGGTGATAAAGTTTTGGTCTAAAATATATTTTAATACATTTATTTTAATCCATTCATGGTGGGGGGGCACAAGAAGAGTGTTCTAAGGCAAAATTGTCTCCAAATAAAACAAAGTGTCTGTTTTTCTCTAACAAACAGTAGAACGTCATAAATTTATTTTCAGGGACCCCCTACAATTTTGAGACTTTCACAGGGTCCAAGATGTGTTTCACACTTTGAATGGAAGTATATTCATAATCCATGAAACTGATTAACTATAAACCTCATATAAAAAGACTGTGCAAATATAATATAATACTGTGTAGTTTTACAACATAACAATGTTTACATACTACACCAGGCGTCGACACCCAAATGTTAAGAGGAGCCCTTTTGCCCTCTCAACAAAAATCAAACCACCTTGAGAGCCACAACATTTTATGTCCATTTTATTGAAGTAACGTTTCACCATCTTGGCTGTAAATATGTCTCAGTATGTGCTGATGTACTAATATAGGCTAAAAAATCTAATATAAATGAAAACGCTTCTTGTTAGAATTTTCCCGTTCCACCTTAAATGGTGCCTGAGTTGCCAGAATGGAACTGCTGCACCATTTAAGGTGGAACGGGACAGTTTGAACAAGAAGCTGGTGAATGAGACGTTGATTCAGCCTCGCGACTTTTTTTTTCGTTGCAGATTAAACGTATCAGGAAACCAGCTGGAGTGATTATAAATGCAAATAAGTCCATTCGTTTCCAAATCATCGATGTTCATCTTAAATCTCTCTCTTTGTCGTTTCGTTAGCTACTAGCTAGGCAAGACTGTTGTCTGTGTTGCTATGGTGACCAGCAGTCTGCGCTGATCTTCAGGGTTAAAGGGTGAATTAGCAGTTCTACATTAACTCCAGAGTTTAAGACCATTTATTGTTAAACTGTGTTGAACGATCAGCAGAGCTTTATTTTACTGTAAAGGAGGATTATTTTATTTTTACCTACAAATCTAATTCAGCTGTGGAGCCACAACAGGGCAGTAAAAGAGCTGCATGTTCCCGACCTGCACTACACCAAACTCATTCATTTCAAAGCAGTGAATAAAATCCGGTTTTCCGTGATATCAGCCCTTTAATTAAAGTGTATTATGGATCCCTAATGAAGATACTTCCACTCTACTGGCCTCCACTGATCCAGGCCTCTCTCTGTCTGTCTCTCTGCAGGTTCTGGCATGGAGAATACACCGTAGCGGTCAACATCAACGACTACCTGGACGTTTACTGCCCGTACTACGAGAGTCCTCAGCCCCACAGCCGTATGGAGCGCTACATCCTCTTCATGGTCAACCACGATGGCTACCTGACCTGTGAGCACAGGATGAGGGGCTTCAAACGCTGGGAGTGCAACCGGCCACAGAGCCCGGACGGGCCGCTCCGATTCTCCGAGAAATTCCAGCTCTTCACCCCCTTCTCCCTCGGCTTCGAGTTCCGCCCCGGACACGAGTACTACTACATCTGTAAGTGTGGAGCTTCACTGAGACAGTTCAGAGGAAAACCTCATTTATACAGGCTTTACCTTCACCAGGGTTACTGCTTCAGATATAGCACTGCAGAGAGAGAGAGAGAGAGAGAGAGAGAGAGAGAGAGAGTGTGTTAGAGAGAGTGAGAGAATAAAAGAGAAAGAGTAAAATAGTGAGAGAGGATAAAAGAGAGAGAGAAAGAGAGGGTAAAAGAGTGCAGGTGAGAGAGTCAAACAATAAAAGAGAGTGAGTGTGTGAGAGAGAGAGAGTAAAAGAGAATAAGACGAAGAAAGAGTGTTGGAGTAAAAGTGTGTCTGAGAGTAAGAGAGAAAGAGGGAATGTAAAAGTGAGTGTGTGTGTGTGTATGAGAGAGAGTAAAAGAGAAAAAATGAGAGAGAAAATAGCGAGAGAGAGAGAGAAAGAGGGAGGAAGACAGGAAGAGATGAAGAGGAAAAGGGAGGGGGGAGAGAGAAAGAAGATGAGAAAGGAGAGAGAGAAGGGATGAGAAGAAGACCAAAAGAGAGAGAGAGAGAGAGAGAAGGAGCAACACAGGAAGAGAGAAAGAGAAAAAGAGCAAGCATAAGAGAGAGAGGAAGAGAGGAAGAGAGAATGGAAAAAGGGATGGGAAAGAGAGAGAGAGAGAGAGAGAGGATGAGAGGAGAGCGTGAGACAGAGAGAAAGAGAGGGTGAATGAAATAAAGAGGACAGAGAATGAGAGAGAGGAGAGAGAGTGAAAGAGAGAATGATTGGGAGAGAGAGAATGATTGAGTGAGAGAGTGATTGAGTGATAGAGAATGAGTGATAGAGAGAGAGTGATAGAGAGAGAGAGAGAGTGATAGAGAGAGATGCCGTAAGACTTGTCCACTTGGTAATGAGGAGAGGGGGGCAGAGCGGCGCTGTGAGATGAAGAGTGGCAGAACATTGTTGTAATGAGATCAATACAAACACAGAGGATCAATACTGCACACGGTGTGGGGGATGATGGGATAAGCTGTCGCGGCGCTGTGGAAGGAGACGCTGAGGGCGGGCCAGCTTTGCTTGTACTGGAGGGAGTTTCAGTTGGACTGGGAGGGGTTTCGGTTGTACTGGGAGGGGTTCCTGTTGTACTGGGAGGAGTTTCAGTCATACTGGGAGGGGTTTTGTATATACGTGGAGGAGTTTCAGTTGTACTGGGAGGGGTTTCTGTTGTACTGGGAGGAGTTTCGGTTGTACTGGGAGGGGTTTGGTTGTTGAATGTGTCTTGGAGAGACGGATGTGTTAACACTGCTGTAATGTGGCTCAAATGCGTCTCAGTCCACCTCCTGAAGTGGTCTGAGTGATCAGATTTGAATCTGTTTAAATGCGTTTACACTTTTTATGTACCTTGGCCTTCAGGCACAATCCTGATACTGAAGACGCATGACGTGACCAGGTGTTAATGGGGTCAAAAAGGAGTGATTCGTCACCTGGACGGAAGCACCTGATCAGTCATATGACTTATTTGTTTGTTTGTTTGATCATTTATTGGACAAACGCTTTTCTGTCATAATTTATCACACTGGTTCTGCTGGTTTTGTTCAATATTGTCTCCACGAGGCATTTTTCACTCAGTAATAGTGCGTGGATGGCAGCCGGGCTGGTGAGGCTGTGTTTGAATGCATCGGAGCAGCAGATCCCTCCGCAGCGCTGGAGCCACCAGCTGTGCTCCTCCATATTCACCGTGTTCGGAGCCGTCCAGGTTTTGTTTGATGTTAAATTTTCTGTAGGCTGGTGAGGAAGCAGCGTGTCCTGCAGCTATTTTGGAACACGGTCCTGCGGAGACGGCCGTATGAGGAGCTGTATTTCATAATCAGACCAGTACTGAAGTGCTATATCAGATTTATATTTTCCTCACTCAGGTTGGAAGAAAGTTATTGAACTCAGATGCTTTATTTAACCCCCGGGATCGTATCTGGCTGGAATGAAATCCTGTTACTTTAATGGACGTTCACAACAGATACTGAATAATTCATACAGGTACTGAATGATTCATAGTAGATACTGAATAATTCATAGCAGATACTGAATAATTCATAGCAGATACTGAATGATTCATAGTAGTTACTGAATAATTCATAGTAGATACTGAATAATTCATAGTAGATACTGAATAATTCATAGCAGATACTGAATGATTCATAGTAGATACTGAATAATTCATAGCAGATACTGAATAATTCATAGTAGATACTGAATAATTCCTAGCAGATACTGAATAATTCATAGTAGTTACTGAATGATTCATAGTAGATACTGAATAATTCATAGCAGATACTGAATGATTCCTAGTAGATACTGAATAATTCATAGTAGATACTGAATAATTCATAGTAGATACTGAATAATTCATAGCAGATACTGAATGATTCATAGTAGATACTGAATAATTCATAGCAGATACTGAATAATTCATAGTAGATACTGAATAATTCATAGCAGATACTGAATAATTCCTAGTAGATACTGAATGATTCATAGTAGTTACTGAATAATTCATAGCAGATACTGAATGATTCATAGTAGATACTGAATGATTCATAGTAGATACTGAATGATTCATAGCAGATACTGAATAATTCATAGTAGTTACTGAATGATTCATAGCACATACTGAATAATTCATAGCAGATACTGAATGATTCATAGTAGATACTGAATGATTCATAGTAGATACTGAATAATTCATAGTAGTTACTGAATGATTCATAGTAGATACTGAATAACTCCTAGTAGATGCTGAATAATAAGCCTGAAGTTTAGGAGGTTTAACTATAACTACAAATGTATGGAAATCAGTGAGTGTATGGAAATACAGATGAATATAACAATAATAATAATAATAATAATAATAATAATAATAATAAAAGGTCTGTTTTTGGATGAGTTTTGGATGACTGGCTCAGTCTGAGAGAGAGCAATAATGATTTTAGGCCTGATTCTCCAGACGCTGCACAATAACAACATCTGATTGGTTTGACAAATACGTGTCAAGCTTTACGTTCCGAAGCCCGTCAGATACTGTAAACAAACAACAAACAGAGATGTTTTTGCTCATTCTCAGCCCTGGAGACTCTGCTCTGCACAGGTCTGGGTTCTCTGCTCTAACAGTCCGGATTCAGGAGCAGAAGCACTGACAGCTTCAGGATGGAGTGTAGAGCTCATCAACTCACAGCAGAGCACTGAAGCTTTAGAGGAGGAGGAGGAAGAGAATAATGCCTAAAACTGAGCCAGATGTGGAGAATACTTAAGATTTTTACTTTACTCAAATATTATTGAAATTGAAAACTTGTATTTTTACTTTATTTTTACATTTCCAAGAAAAAAAACAAACTTTTTTTTACTACTTACATTTTCACTTAGACCTTCAAAGAACTTGTTACTTGTTGACTTTTCTTCTTTTTCGTTCTCTTGCCAGTCGAGTTGCTGCGCATTTTAATTAAAATGATGCTGCCCGGAGCTAAACAAGGACCAGGACCACCCATTTGTCACAGCTGTTGAAAACGGTCGAGATCAGGCCGATGGGTTACAGAGTGTGATCAGCATTACAGCTACTTTAATGTTAAAAGAGTAGAGTTCTGGCTCCAAACTTCCACTTTACATGGCGTACGATTTGACACAGTACGCAAACTTTCACTAAAGTTCAGCTTCCCTCTACTTTTTACACCCTTGTTAGTTTTTAAAGCCAAATTTCTGAATATCTTCAGAGAGTCTGGAGGGTTTCGCCGCTCAATGCAGCCAAGAACCGCCCACTTTCAATGGCAAGCAAGGGATTGACCAATCTCTGACCACTGCGTGTCATCAGCTGATGACGTGATGTTCAAAGCAATGACAAAAATATCAAAATTAAGCAGTGGCTGAAATAAATGTGCTAAATTCATTGCTGTAGCCATTTCTGCTGGTTACAAACCGACACACAAAGTGCTGAACAGTGGCTCATTGATTACTATCAAAAAACACAAAAAATGAAAGTGTGGAAAACAAATCAGAGTGTAACTTACAAAGATGGATACCTGAGTCGCGACTTGGACTGGAGACTTGGATGTTGATCCTAAAACCAATTAACCTTTAAAGTGCATTGAGAGTGACCCTGAATTATTTTGTAGCCAAGCAAGTTGAAACAGGGATTGAAAAAAATAAAATTAATCAGTTGAAGCAAATCAAGACTAATACGACTAAATGAACAAAGAAAATTTTTGATGAAAATAAATAAAAGCTCAAATAAGAAATGGAGAATGGAGAGGAAAAAAAATCTGTAATGAAAACAAAATAAAAAGTAAATAAAACAACTAATATAATACATTTTGAGAAAAACATAAATTGTTGCAAAAATATTTCAATAAATTAGTCAAATAAAATAGAACAGTAAAAGAACAAACATGAGTTAGCTGAGAGGTAGTGGTTAGAAATGAAAACTTTAAAATGGTGAAATGTCTCCAACAAGTGGAGATATTATTTAATTAATTAAAATAAACATTTATTAAAATATTTATTACAATTATTATTTCATTTATTTTAAAAATTGCAGTGCTTCTTTATATAACAAATATAAAGCTGACTGATAAAATATTGGCACAACACTCATTTTTATTTTCATTTATTTTTGTTTTATTTTGTTTATTTTGTTTATTTATGTTCTTAGTCAAAGAAAAAATCTTGTTATGCATATGCCCACTACGCTATACACTGCACAAGTGGCCAGTTTGTATAAAGCAATGGTGATTCTCTCATAATGTTATAATTATGGTCATTTATATACCACCTTATATACATTAAAAATGCAGCTCAAAGTGCTTCACAATACAAATTAAAAACAACAGAGGAAGAAAAGAAAAAGAGAAATAATAAACAGCAGAAAGGGATTTATTAATAATAATTCCAATTGAAAAGCACAAGATAAAAGTATAAATAAAAGTAATGTTTCAGGGGGGCACAACTGTCTAAGCGTTGACCCTATCATCAGGAGGTCACGAGTTCGATCC